TGCCGAGACCCTGTGAAAGGTGTCACAGCCCCACGGACTCTGCAGGGCCATCAGAATTGGTGATTCCATGACTTAAGGGCCAGCAGAGAAGAATTCTGGGCGTTGGGGAATCCTGATCGTGACAGGCGCTGCATTCACCTCTGGGCTGGAGCAGGGGCAGATGCACCAGGCAGGACAAAAAAAAAAACCCAGCACTTGGGAACAGATATCTCAAGGGCTCATGAATCAGAAGCAGCGGGATATGCAATTTAGAAAACGTGCTACAGAGATTCAGGTTTGCTGTGGGGTTGGTGGGGCTGGCTGGCTGGATGCCCGCAGGGAACAGTGCAGCAAGAGCGATCGGTGTGACCTCCAATGACCTGAGTGTGACCTCAAGTCCCTCTTTTGCACTGACAATTCACGGAGGGAGCGCCCTCCTGGCGCTGTGCTGGGGCGTCTCCACTTCTCTCCTTTGCTCTTCATGTGGTAGATGAACCTCATTTGATCTGGAATTCACAGATGAGGAAGCTGAGACCCAGGGAAGTTCAGAAACCTGCAGTTAGTCGGTGTGGAGCCGAGTTTCGCACCGGGACCTGTCAAGACCCTCTCATTGCTCTTAGTTCAAAGTTTAAATTTTTAGGGCCCTGCCTCCAAGACCCCTGCTGACCCCTGCAACTTTATCTTGGAACTCTGTCCCTTGCTGTCTATGCTCCATCCTGCTGGTTTTTCATTCTTCATACATGCTCTTCTTCTGACCCCAGGGCCTTTGCACATGCTGTTCCGTAACCCTCCCTTCTTCTGGTTAATGTCGATGCATCCTTCAAGCCTCAGCTTTACTGTCACTGCCTCAGAGAAGGCTTCTCTGATCCCCAGCCTTGGTTGGGTCTCCTGTGAACATTCTCAAAGCAAACCCAGTCTTCTGTTTCTCAACACTCACAACCTGGTCTTCCCTGGTTCATTGGCAAGTCCCTCATTACACTGTGAGCTTCACAAGAGCAGAGATAGGAGGGCCTTTTTCTTAGTCTTTTCAGGCTGCTATACAACAAAATGCCAGAGACTGGGTGGCTTATCAGCAACAAAAATTTATTTCTCACAGTTCTGGAAGCTGGGAAGTCCAAGGTCAAGGAACCGGCAGAGGTGGTGTCTGATGAGGGCCTACTTTATGGTCCATAGATGGCTATCTTCTTGCTGTGTCCTCACATGGCAAAGGGGCGAGGCAGCTCTCTGGGGTCTCTTATAAGAGTGCTAATCTCATTCAAGAGAGCCCCACCCTTATGACATAACTGCCTCCTTAAAGGCATCACACTGGGGGTTAGGCTTCAATATAGGAAATTTGCAGGGACACAAACATTTTAGTCCATAGCAGCCTTGTTCACGGTGAGTCTCCAGCACTTCGCACGCAGTAAGGGTTCATGGATGCTGGTGAATGGACACGTATGTGCTTGCATCGCCGCGGACCTAGTCGACTGGGCCGTCCATCTCACGAACAGTAATTCTCAGCTGATGTATTCCAGGCTTTTGCCAACCCTGAGGATGCTCAGAGACATGGAGGCCTCCAGTATTGCCGGACTGACCCAGATGTGGAACGTTGTCTCAGGCAAGTACCACTGGCCCTCAGCCTGATCACGGCCTGTCCTTTCGGGCCCTTTTCTGAACACGGGGGCTTGGAGGATGCCCAGGGGGCCTAGGTCTTCTGCCTTCCAGATCCTCTTAGACTGTTTTCATTTATTCATTAATTTAATTTCTAGTTACTCGTGGAAAAGTAATATGTGCTTGTGGCTCAGGATGACAAAGTTAGAAAAGGATATTCAGTGCAATTTCAGTCTCTCTCCCACCTCTGACCTGCAGGTCCTGCCCAGATCTGCTCACCAGGGGCCAGTGCTGTTACCAATGTCTAATGCATCTTCTCCGAGACACTTCTCCTGCATTTACTACACACACACTATGCTTTTTCCTTTTTACCCCCAAAGGATCACTCTTTACCCACTGATTTATACTGTCCTTTTTTCACATAACAGAAACTGTTTCATATCAGCCCATAGAGGGGCCTCGTTCATTACATCGGCACTGTAGTATTTACACCATTTCTCTATTAAATAGATGGTCTGTAGCTGATCCAACCACTTACCCTCCAATGGCATTTAGGCTGTTCTAAGTCCTTCTGTGTTATGAACAGAGTGCATCAAAACTTCTTTCATTTTCCTTTGTGCGTCAGTGTGAGCAAAACTGCAGGCTGCAATCAAATGGTAAGAAATACTGTCAAATGGTACACAAATCTAGTCCCACAACTGGTGTGTGAGATGTGTCTCCGACCCTGCTAACTCTGTATCCACTTTTGGGTGGATCCTTGCCAACACGATGGGTGAAAATGTACATCACATTTCAGTTTTACTTTGCATTTCTTTTTTTGTTTGTTTTTGGCTGTGCTGTGCAGCTTATGGGATTTTAGTTCCCTGACCAGGGATCGAACTCAGGCCCTCAGCAATGAGAGCACGGAGTCCAAACCACTGGACTGCCAGGGAACTCCCTACTTTGCATTTCTGAGTGAAGTTGAACATTTTTTCATATGCTTAGCATCCCCCAGTCAATCAAAAGCAATTTTTCTTATTATAAAACTCAGAACTGGGCTTCCCTGGTGGCGCAGTGGTTGAGGGTCTGCCTGCCGATACAGGGGACGCGGGTTCGTGCCCCGGTCCGGGAAGATCCCACATGCCGTGGAGCAGCTGGGCCCGTGAGCCATGGCCGCTGAGCCTGCGCGTCCGGAGCCTGTGCTCCACAGTGGGAGAGGCCACAGCAGTGAGAGGCCCGCGTACCGCAAAAAACAACAACAACAACAACAACAACAACAACAAAACCCTCAGAACTATTCATTGCAAACAATTTGGCTAATATTGAAAATACGTAGAGCAGAAAGGGGAAAACCACTCACAATTCTTGTCACTGTTAACATGTTCATCTATCTCCTCTTTGTCATCTGTCTAAATATTTTTCATAACACTAGGTGTGCATTGTACACCCAACTGGGCGTTCTGATTTTTTTTCAGTTAGTTATTTCATGAGCACTTTCCATGTCAGTAAATACTACTCAAAAAGTGAATCTTAAAAAAGGGATGCAGAGGGAGTTCCCTGGCGGTGCAGTGGCTGGGACTCTGCACTTTCACTGATGTGGCCCAGGTTCAATCCCTGATCAGGGAACTGAGATCCACAAGCCACATGTGGGGCCATAAATAAATAAATAAAGAAAGAAAGAAAGAAAGAAAGAAAGAAAGGCTGTGTAAAATTCCATCAGAGACTAAATGTTACTTTCACGTAGCCAGTCTCAGTGGTGAGTATTTTGGCAGTTTCCTCTCTGCTGTTTTACACCAATGGGCTGGAGAGCCAGGAGGAAGCACTCCCAGGGGATGGGGGTTGTCATGGGATGGGTGTGGGGAGGATGGGTAGCTGGACAGGAGTGAGACAGACACAAGCCCTCACCTAGTTCTTGTCACATTCCCATGAATCACCGGCAGAAATGAGTGGGACCAAGTGGTATAAATAATAGAGATTCTTTTATTTTTCTTGGCCATTGAAAATAACATGTACTTGTGGTTTTTTTAAATTACAGAAATGTGTAATGTAGAAAGTGAAATTCATTGCTATTTCATCCTTTCTAATGTAACTACAGTATATAGTCCTTCATACGAGGTCCATCCATCCATCCATCTATCCGTTCGTTCAACATTCAACGAGCACTGACCATGTGCTAGCTACTGTGCTAAGCACTCGTTGTACTTTGGTGAACAAAAGCCTCACCCATACATGAATCCATACTGGTGACCCTCATGCCACCTGGTTGGCATGACTCTCCTGGGCAGTGGAGAAGGTTGTGATGAGTAGCAGGGGCAGCCGGTTGCCAAGCCAGCTCAGAGCAGCCACCCAGAGGAGTGTTCGGCTTCTCCCAAGGGGTGAGAGGTCTGTGTAGCAAAACTCGTGTTACTTGTGGCACAGGGGTGGTTACATAGGGTCATGAACACTTTGTTTTTATTGGCTGCAACCATGCCAGGGAGAGACCACACACCCGTGTGGTGCCACGATGTCTCCACCCACCCAACACAATTTTCATTTCTGAACAAAAGGACACGTCATCTACAGTGCTGATATTCAAGTAGCTGAAATTCAATTCAGCACTTTTTTTTTTTTTTGGCTGTACCACATAACTTGTGGGATCTTAGTTCCCCAACCAGGGATCAAACCCGGACCCCCCGGCAGTGAAAACACCCCAGTCTTAACCACTGGACCACCAGGGAATTCCCCAATTCAACACTTTTATTTTTTTAATTAATTAATTTATTTATTATTTTTATTTTTTTTGGCTGTGTTGGGTCCTCGTTGCTGCATGCGGGCTTTCTCTAGTTGCGGTGAGCGGGGGCTACTCTTCGTTGCGGTGCGCGGGCTTCTCATTGCGGTGGCTTCTCTTGTTGTGGAGAACGGGCTGTAGGCGCACGGGCTCAGTAGTTGTGGCGCACGAGCTTAGTTGCTCCGCGGCATGTGGGATCTTCCTGGACCAGGGCTCGAACCTGTGTCCCCTGCATTGGCAGGCGGATTCTATCTATCTATCTATCTATCTATTTATTTATGGCTGCGTTGGGTCTTCATTGCTGCGTGCAGGCTTTCTCTAGTTGCAGCGAGAGGGGGCTACTCTTTGATGCGGTGCATGGGCTTCTCATTGCGGTGGCTTCTCTTGCTGCGGAGCATGGGCTCTAGGCGCGCGGGCTCAGTAGTTGTGGCGCACGGGCTTAGCTGCTCCACAGCATGTGGGATCTTCTCGGATCAGGGCTCAAACCCATGTCCCCTGCATTGGCAGGCAGATTCTTAACCACTGCGCCACCAGGGAAGTCCCCGAATTTATTTATTTACTTACTTACTTACTTATTTATTATTTATTTATTTTTTTGCGGTATGCGGGCCTCTCACTGTTGTGGCCTCTCCCGTTGCGGAGCACAGGCTCCAGACACGCAGGCTCAGTGGCCATGGCTCACGGGCCCAGCCGCTCCGCGGCATGCGGGATCCCCCCAGACCGGGGCACGAACCCACGTCCCCTGCGTCGGCAGGCAGACTCTCAACCACTGCGCCACCAGGGAAGCCCTATTTTATTTATTTTTTATGCAGCAGGGTCTTATTCGTTATCCATTTTATACATATTAGTGTATACATGTCAATCTCTATCTCCCAATTCATCCACCACCACCAGCCACCCCTGCCGCTTTCCCCCCTTGGCGTCCATACGTTTGTTCTCTACATCTGTGTCTCTATTTCTGCCTTGCCAACCGGTTCATCTGTACCATTTTTCTAGGTTCCACATATATGCGTTAATATACGATGTTTGTTTTTCTCTTTCTGACTTACTTCACTCTGTATGACAGTCTCTAGATCCATCCACGTCTCTACAAATGACCCAATTTCGTTCCTTTTTATGGCTGAGTAATATTCCATTGTATATATGTACCACATCTTCTTTATGCATTCGTCTGTCGACGGGCATTTAGGTTGCTTCCATAACCTGGCTATCGTAAATAGTGTCCAATTCAGCACTTTTTGAGCACCTCTTAGCTAATAATGTCATATTCATTTGGTGAGTGTTGTTGGTGACCTTGCATGTACTGTTATTTACTGGGGCTTACTATGCCAGATCTGGGGGTTCCTGGGGCCCCAGGGCTCCTGCTGGCTTTACATAACATCATGGAACCTCGAGGGTGCAGAGAATCACACATCCTGCCATCCGCTACCGGAGAACTGGCTGGAACCTGACAGGAGATGCCCTGGAAGCAAAAGTGAGTTAAATATTAGACCAGAGGTTTTAGTGCAACCAGGGCTGCCTTTTTGCAGAAACAGGAAAGCACTTTGGTCTCAGTTCTTGGAGCACAGATCTGCCTTGCAGATTAGCACAGGCTGGAGCTCAAATGTGAGCCCAGCTCTGGGAGGTCAGGAACCAGGTTTCAAGGAAAACGATGAAACCCAGCCGCATCCTTTTAGTGATTCCTATCCAAGTCTCCCGGCAATGTATGTTTGGGCCAGATTCTGAGTTTATGTGAATGCACCTTCATTGGGGCCAGCGGGTGTGCGTGTCTCTGAGTGGTCCCGAGGAAGGAAGACAAACACTTGGCCCAAACTTTAAGATACTCCTGATTATTTGGAGTGTGGTGTGGAGACTTTATCTGAGTGAACTGGTTTGTCAGGAGATTGGGTCACAAAATCTCAGCCCTAGAAGTCCTTTAAGACCCCATCCAAACACATTATTTTGTGGATGATGAACCGAGGTCCAGAGACAGAGACTTGCCCGAGGCCAGGGGTATAATGAGCACCCTCGGGGAGGTCCGAGGCTGCTAGCCTCGCACCATAAAATGTTTATTAATTTGGCCTGGGCGTCTGAGGGCGCTGGGAGTCTGGCACAACCAAGAGCTGAAATTAACTTTAACAGTCATGTCTGGGACAGGGCTGGTGGTGATGGTGACAATGACAAAGAAGATGGCAGCTAAATTGGGGCAAAACTACTCCGTGCCAGGCAGTGTTCTAAGCACTTTATAGGAACCAACCCACTCTGCCTCCCAATAGGCTTCCAAGGGCGGCACTAGCATCTATAGAGGAAGAAGCAGGTTTGCCAAGGCCGCATCGCTCGTGACGGCTAAGCTGCCATTGAGCCCAGGCCATCTGATATGGGCTCTGCTCTCCTTTCAAGAAGGTGGTTTAACTCTATGTTATAACCTGCCTTTAAAACTAAGCAGGCTTCACCTCATATCAAACCTGAATTCAAGGAAATCACCTGTGCAGATGGAGAGCCTGGGGAGGGAAGAGGAGAGAGCTAGCGGGGCTGCCAGCAGCGGTCCCTGCCCAGGAGGCCTGGGGGGAACTGTAGGGCTCTCTCCACAGTCCTGTCACCTGATGCAGTGAAAGGCAGCCGGTGTTGCCGTGTCTGTTGACGGGAGAGGCAGGCCTAATGCTGCAGGAAGCCATGCAAGTCCAGTCTAGTGGGAATTTGCTCTGAATGGTTTTCACCTTAAAAAACTGGTTATTAGGGCTTCCCTGGTGGCGCAGTGGTTGGGAGTCCGCCTGCCGATGCAGGGGACACGGGTTCGTGCCCCGGTCCGGGAAGATCCCACATGCCGCAGAGCGGCTGGGCCCGTGAGCCATGGCCGCTGAGCCTGCGCGTCCGGAGCCTGTGCTCCGCAACGGGAGAGGCCACAGCAGTGAGAGGCCCGCGTACCGCAAAAAAAACAAAACAAAACAAAAAACCCCAAAAAACAGAAAAACTGGTTATTAGTGGAATGACACATTTTACCCAAGCATCTCTCTGGTACGTGACTCCCTCCACGTCTCTCGATTCGGATCCTGGGGTAGGGGTGGTGGGGAGGACAGGAGTGAATTTTCTTGGCATCAGGCCTGTCCTCGGCACCACTTGTGGCTTCGTGGGGGCCCCACGGCAGTTTTCGTGGGGACTGGGCACGCCAGGGGCTGAGGGGCTTTCTCAGCTCCCAGCCACCTCTCCTCTCGCCTCCCTCAAAGGTGACCTCCGAATCCTCTAGTCCCAGTTGCTGGAGCCAGGAGGTAGGGCTCCCCCTCCCATCTTTATTCCTCCTCTCTGCCTGGTGTCCTCCGACTTCTTTCCCTCACCTGTGCTTTGGGGTTTGGCCAACGATCCTCTTAACAGCTTTCTAAAAAGTGACTCACCCTTAGAATGTAAATACATACTTTAAGGAGAAGTGTCTCATTGAATGGGTTTCATGCGCTAGTTACGCTTTTCCTGAAACTTTCCGAGAAATATACAACATGACAAAAATACTCCCAGCTGGCACCATCTCATGAGTCAACCTGTGGGAGGAAGACCACCTTCTAGGACACCCTGACTTAATGTAAAATAGGTTTTCCAAGGTGTCTGTCTCATAGCATGTTAGGGGGGATGTCGGTGTACACAGATTTATCCCCATAGCATGGGGATAAATAGCATGATTTTAGAGCAACATTTGCTGCCTCTTCCCCAGTAAGGTAAGGGACTTGCTCGATTGAGGAATTGAAATGGCCCCAGTCCTCAGCTTCCCCCTCTTCATCCCTGTAGCCAAGATCCGGCCACGGCCTGCTTCTCTCACATGGGCATCCAGCAGTATTTCCCCCAGCTGGTGAGACCTGCCCTGCTGTAGACTTGCTTTCCCTGGGGCTGTGTCCCAAGGTCAAGCTCTGGGAATAAAGGAGAAGGAAGACTCACGTTGGCTCCAGGATATGGGGACAGAGACACCCACTGCTGTGTCCTGAGTTTGATCTAAGATCCAGGCCCTGCTGGGTTTACGGGAGCTTTTGTACACTCAGATTGAATTCCAGACCCCTTACCCTGCTTCATGAGGCCCCTCTCCCCTTCTTATCCTGTCTCCCTCCCTCTTACGTGCCACGCTCCAGCCACATGGGTCACTTTTCTGAGCCTTGATCACGCAATGCTCATTGCCACCTCAGGGCCTTTGCACATGCCCATGCTTCTTCCTGGAGAGTTCTTCCCCTGCACAGATGGCCCCTCATCATTCAGGCTTCAGTAAAACGTCTCCTTCCCTGACTACACGCACCCTAGTCATGCCACAGAGACCCCTGCAGCCCCGGGTTGCTGAGTGCTTCTCCCCTCCGCCCTGCCCAATTCCTAGCATCCACATACCCTGGCCCTTGCCTGAGGTCCTTGCAAGTGGCAGGCAAGAGGAGGACTCTGCGGCAGGTCCCCACACGGGGCTGCTGGGCTGGGCTTGGCCCGTTGGTGCAGTGTTGGTGAAATGCACTCCAGCTGGAAGGCTTGGAGAAGGGGCTTCAGTTCTAGAAGCGTCCCCGTGCCTCACACATGTGGCCTGTCCTTGCGGGAGGTCACGGCCCAGGCACCGCGTTCCTGTTTATTTGCGCTTCCAACATGCCATCTCTGGCTTTGGTCATTTGCTCAGTCTCTAACTTATGAGACTTGACCTCCCCATCCTCCACAGAGGAAGCTGCCCATTAGCAGGAATCATGGAAAATGTGAACCAACTCTTAGCAGAAGTGGATGAGTTTTCTTTGTCGGTCATTTTTTTATGGCAGGGTTATACACAGCCGCCCTTCCCCACCACCACCACATATACTCACACACTTGATATTTTAAACAAAGAAAGAAGCAGGATAGCGCGGATGAAACAGAGCTTCGTCGCTGTCCGGCGATTGGCTGGCTCCAGTGAGTGCAAGTTCTTATTATCCCTGAGAGGAGGAAGGGTTTGCTTAGATTTAGGGGCAGAATAGGACAGAGCCAGGCGTGGATTTCAGATGCATGTTCTTAGCCCATCCCGCTGGGGAGGGCCCAGGAACCTGCATTTGGAAGGAGGACGGCCTCAGAAAAGCCCTGCCTTGGTGGTAAAGAGCATGGGCTGGGGAGTTTCCTGGTGGTCTAGTGGTTAGGATTTGGCGCTTTCACTACCGTGGCCCGGGTTCAATTCCTGGTCAGGGAACTGAGATCCTGCAAGCTGCACGGCGTGGCCAAAATTAAAAAATAAATAGATGAAAGAGCAGGGGCTGGAGGCAGACCGAGGCTCCACCCCAGCTTTCACTCAACCCCACTGAGCCCCACTTTTCTTGCCTGGTGTCCAAGACCAGAGGGGAAGATAGGGGAGACCACGGCAGGGGCTGCGTCTTGGCGAGCCCTGGGGTTGGTAAGAAAACCAACCAGCAGCCCTTCGTGGCTCTCGGTCGGCTAACAGGGTTCACTTTCTGAGCTGCTCACCGGCACAAGCTTGGAGTCACCGTCGCCCCTGCCTCTGGGGTATCTCCTTGTCTTGGCCATGGTGGACGTGAGTCTGGCACCCCCGAGATGGTCCCCAGGGGTGTGGGGCCTTTCGGGGCAGAGGGTCTCAGCTTCCAGGACATTCTCAAAGCCGGCTCCTGGCTGACTGCACCCCCTTGCCTTCCCAGAGCCCACCGGAATGACATGGAGACCATCTACCCCTTCCTGTTCCTGGGCTTCGTCTACTCCTTCTTGGGGCCTGACCCCTTCGTTGCCTGGATGCACTTCCTGGTCGTCTTCCTGGGCCGCATGGTGCACACCGTGGCCTACCTGGGGAAGCTGCGGGCGCCCACCCGCTCTCTGGCCTACACCCTGGCCCAGCTTCCTTGCGCCTCCATGGCCCTGCAGATTGTCTGGGAAGCAGCTTGCCACCTGTGACCAGCCGCTGACACCTCCTCGGCCGCCAGACCCCTGGCCACGAGCCACCGGGAGACCAGGTGCCCCTTTGAGATTGTGATAGGCCCCGGGGCCTGGTTTCCTGGCAACCAGCTGGATTCCTGGGTGAAGCCACTGACTGGAACTGTTTAGAGACCGGTTGTCACGACTGATAGAAAATCCTTCCACTTACAGAACAGAGCATGAAAAATATCCCTCCCCCTTCCTCCCCAAGTCTGGGAAGGGTGAGCAGAGACTCAGTTCAGGTCTCTGAACCTAACGACCCTCTGAATCCAGGGCTGTAATAAATAAGGACTTCTCACCTCCACCCCAGAGATTCTGATTTAGCTGGTCTAGAGGGGAGCCTGGGCGTCTGCAGTTTTAGAAAGTTCCTGTGAGTCCCAGCAATGGCTGGGCCTGGGGCCCACTGCCAGTTCCCTCTAGGGGAGGGCCCAGGACTGGCAGGGTGGGAGTTTCTCTCCCGGTGGGAGAAGGGCTGTGCTCCTTTGTGCCCTGTTGACACTTCCCTGTGCCACATTCCTTTGCTGCATCCTTCTGTCTTTGGCACAGGTGCCGATGGGAAGGGCCCACAGTGAGGTCGGCCTTCTCTTCCCGAGGCTTTAGTTACTCCAAAGAGCTGTCATTCAAGGACAATGGGCTTTGAAGGACCAACCGCTAAAAGGAAATTTTGACTCCTTCGGTATTTGCGAGGCTTGAAAACCACAAATGTGCACCCCTGTGGGGAATCATGTGTCTCTCCTGGACTCTTGCTGTAAGAGCATGTGGCTTTAGTCATTAATGAAGTGTCTGACCAGCTTGACCCCCTGGATGCTGGTTCCTGGCATCCACCACCGCCCAGGCTGGCTGGGGATCCGGCTCGCCCGACACTTTTGCGGGTCTGTGTCTGGGGCGAAACTGACAAGACACAGTCTCTGGCAAACACACAAACCCACCCAGACGAGGGTGCTGAATCATGCAGAAAGCAAGCAGGCTGCTGGGAGACACCCTCCCACCTCCTGCCGTGGGCCAGTAAGATGGTCAGTCAAGCCCATTTTTACACATGAGGAAACCGAGGCTCAAGGTGGACTCCCTGCAGTGTGAAATCAGCTCTGAACCCCGCCTGTCTGGCTCCCCAAAACTTCTCTAACCATTGTGCAGTCCTGCCTCTCCCCAAACCCCCTCCCCAGCGCTGCCCCTTTCCTCCAGTATCTAGGGAAGCCCCCCTCGCACCTGGGCATGGCCTCCCCTCACAGCCCTGCAACCCCTGAGCTTCTGCCCCCGCGGACTGATGGGTCTGCCTAGTGGGGGCCTCACTGGGGACCCAGGGTTCCTCAGGCCTCACTAGAAATCCGAGTCGGCCCCCCTGCCCGGCCGTGCTAGGAGGTGGGATGGGTAGCATTGCTTCCTGGTGGTGAGATGAGCCTCTTTTCTGGGGCTGCAGCTGCACATCTGGAAACAGAAAGCGCACGTCCCTGTATTCAGTGTCTGCTGTTTGCTAAGCATCGGCTGAGCATGGTGTTCACAATTTTTTTTCCACTTGATCCTCCACCCCAGGAAGGAGGTATTTCTGCTTTTTGATGAGGAAAGTAAGGCTCAGAAAGGAGCTGTAACTTGCCCAACATCCCTGAGCTGGGATGTGGTAAAAGAGGAGCAGACCCAGCATGTGTGCTTGTATTTTAATATTTCCCCTTCTGGGGAAAGAGGGACTGAGAAGGCAAAGTGCCCAGCTCAGACCCGGGTGAGGAGGGCATCCGATACCCACAGGGACCATGTAACCCTGGGACGGAGGGAGGGGGCAGCTCCTCGGAACTGCAGGGACAGCAGCCCCTTGTGCTCTGGCCCATCATTCACTCCCTGCCCCGTCCCCCGGGACCCCTCAGATGCTGAGCCACAACAGGGTGGGGGGATGGTAGGACATCAGACGGTGACAACTCCAAGTACTCAGTGCCCTAAGGGGGGGTGGGCAGTGGGAGCACAGGGAGGGCCTCTAACCCCTGCTGGGGAGGGGCTTCCTAGGGGACGTGACTGCTCGCCTGCCATGGGCGTAAGTCAGACCGGTTTTGGGGGGGTGTCCAATCAAGCTGAGGAAAGATGACCAGGAAGCTCAGCCCCCTGGGGTCTTGTGCCTGGGAAGTGGAGGGGGGGCGGTGGAAAGGGGCTCATTCAAGGCCTTGGGGCCTTGTGGGGTGGGTTCAGAGCCAGGGTGAGGAGAAGGGGGCGAGGGGTTAGTGACCTGGGTCTGTGTCCTAAGAGGATTTCCGAGAAGCCACGTAGAAGGCAGCATGGTGAGGTTGACAGCTGGGCACTGGCTCTTGTTCCCAAACTGACACAGACAGTGCCCAGCTGCCCCACCCCCTCAGTTTCTGGAGGGGCCGGGGAGAGGCAGGCGCAGCCTGACGGCAGGGAGGGGCAGCTGGCAGGAGCCGGGCGATGTTTCCAGGGTAGACCCGGAACCCTACAGGATGGGGAAGGGCTGGGGGCGGCTTCCCGGAGCAGCTGCCCCTGGGGCTGAACCACAGCGCCCCTTTCTTGGGCAGCGGCAAAGTGAGCACAGCAGGTGAGACGATGCGGGTGGGCTGGCCTGGCCAGAAGCCCCACCCCCACCCCGCCCCAGGCCATCCTGGGCGCCGGTGAATTCCTCTGACTTCGCCTCGATCGATCGCACCCCATCCAGATGCGGGCCCCCTCTTGGGCTGCCTCCTCCTGACCCTGGGCTGGGGGTGGTGCGAAGTGTGGGCAGTGCTGGGGGGCAGGGCAGTGCTGAGCAGCAGCCTGGGGGCTCTGGAACCACAGCCCTGGGGGCAGGCATGGACTTTGGGGCCCAGCCCAGGCTTGGGAAACTGGAGCTGCCCCTGACTGGGGCCTGGTGGCTGGGGGCAACTTCTCCTGGGTTCTGAGTGAGCGGGAAAGCCCAGAGCCAGCCTGGGGTGTCACACAGACCCCAGGGTCAGGGCCCTGGTCTGCGAGTTAGGGGCCCTCTCCTCAAAATGTTGCCAGTTTGGTCCTAATGCTATAGAACATTTCACCCCCACCTGGGTACACACACTTCTTTTTTTTTTTTTTTTTAAATAAACTTTATTTATTTATGTCTGCGTTGGGTCTTCGTTGCTGCACGCGGGCTTTCTCTAGTTGCAGGGAGTGGGAGCTATTCTTTGTTGTGGTGCGCGGGCTTCTCATTGCGGTGGCTTCTCTTGTTGCGGAGCAGGAGCTCTAGGTGCGCGGGCTTCAGTAGTTGTGGCACGCGGGCTCAGTAGTTGTGGCGCGTGGGCTCTAGAGCACAGGCTCAGTAGCTGTGGCGCACGGGCTTAGTTGCTCCACAGCACGTGGGATCTTCCCGGACCAGGGCTCGAACCCCTGTCCACTGCATTGGCAGTCGGATTCTTAACCACTGCACCACCAGGGAAGTCCCGAGTGTACACACTTCTAAGGAGGAAGCCCAAGACAGGTGATGGCAGGTGTGCCCTGTCCACCTGGGCTCCCCAGCCTCCTATGAGGGCCCCTCTGGGAACCACTGGGTCTCCCTCGTTTAATGGATTCATTGGCTTCAGGCTTCCAAGAGCCTCCCTGGTATGTGACAGACTTGGAGGAACAGGCAAAGATGAGAGGACAAAGGGGCCTGGTTTTAGTCCTGGAGGCAGGGACAGAACCTGGGGACCCCCTTAATTCCCACAGAATTAAGGGCTCCCGGGGTTTCTGTGTGTGTCCCTGGGAGGCCATTGTCCTCAGGAATGGGCTTCCAGGCTGGCTAGGGCGGAAAGACGGACCCCTTCTTATTCCAGATGGGCTGGGCCTTGGGCAGTCACAGAAGAGGGGTGTCTGTCCGGGTGGCTGGGAATCCAGGCAGGATTCCCTGGAGAGGTATCCTTTGAGTTGGAAGCTGAAAGGTGGATGAGATTTTAAACTGTTAATTACAGGTACTCACAAGTAATGGTCACTATCAGAGGTTTAGAAACTACAGAAAAGCTCAAAGAAGAAAATAAATGCTTCCTGTATTCTCACCACAGAGTTGTCCTGGTCACGCTCCAGGTCATTGCAACAGCTCCCAAACTGGATACCTGCATCCACCATCCACCCTTGGCCCCCACCGTCTGCTCCCCACCCAGGGCCAGAGGCTTCTGTGTGCCGGTCCTCCGGTGGCTTCCCCCTACCCAGACGAGGCTGGCAAGGCCCCGCGCCATCTTCCCTCACTTCTTCACAGTTCATCTCTCCCTCTAGAATGTGCACTCCATGGGGAAGGGGATTTGGGTCTGTGTTATTCTTGCCGTGCCTGTGTCCCCAGGTCTTGGAAGAGCACCTGGCTTCTATGGCGTTTCTATTAAGTGAATGAATGATGTGTAAAATGAATGTGTGTGTGTGTGTGTATGTGTGTGTGTGTGTGTGTGTGTGTGTGTACACAAAGTGTAGAGATAGGGATTCCAAACTGTTTCTATCCAGGATGGAATTCCACAACAAAAACTATGGATCAAGGCTTTGGGGAGATGTCGTCAGTGTGTCACAGGTGTGGGTGGCATCTGTGCTCAGGGTCTCACAGCCTGGCCTTTTTATCATCACTTGAGAGTTTCCCTAATAATACATCTGCACCTCCCAGGGCTTTCGATGGTCAATACCATGAATTTTAACAGCTCCCTGGCACTCCATCATCCCGGATACCCTCATCATTTACTTAATCTGCCCTTATTGTTGGATAATTAATTTTCCGGGCTGCATCAGCATAAGCAATGCTTTCATGGGCACCTTTGTACATAAATCTCAGTGCAGATCTATTATTTTCAGGTACGTTACTAGAAGTAAAATTGCTGGTCCAAAAGGCATGCCTGTTTTTAAGACTTGTGGTATATACTGTTCTCCAGAAAGATGGTTCCAATTTGGATAGAGTTCTAAAAAGTTTTGTCAATTTTTAGAACCCAAGTAGGGAAATTTACAAGTGTGTATATAAAGAATAGAGACCAGGGCTTCCCTGGTGGCGCAGTGCTTGAGAGTCCGCCTGCCGATGCA